CTCTTGCTGCCCCCACCTTCGTCCTCCGGGTGGTGGTGGTGGTGGTGGTGGTGGTGGCGGCGGGGCCTGCCCAGGGCCTCGCTCAGGCCGTTCTCCTTGCACAACTGGTCGTGCCGGGGTGGGAAAGGAGGGCTGTCCCTGCGCAGAGAGTTGGAGCGCGACACTGACATGTTCTCAAACTCATCTAGCAGCCAGGCCAGGGAACCGTCCTTGGCAGCTTTGTTTCCGCGCACGATGGTCTTACGTGTATGGAATGAAAAATGGACCAGGCAGGTGTGGGGGGAAGAGAGGATACACAAACAGAAAGAAAATAAGGTAAGCAACATAAAAAAAAATTAAGGTGCTTGATGGATGCTTGACAACGGCCCGAGACAATTTCAGCTTTGGCACAAAGAAGCACGTAGTAGCAGGAGTGGTGGGGAGAACAAGGGGAAGGAGGACTCACATCTGGGAGAAGAAACGAGATCTTTACAGAGCTGCTCTCGCCACACACTTTCCCCTGCAAGCGCACACCATTCACACTGAAACGCTTTTAAAAAAATATAAACGCTGATAACGATGAACGACACGAACGTTGGATTTTAAAAGCAATGACCGAAAGGCAGCCTTACAGCAGCTTTCCCCAACCAGGACACACAATGACTCCCAGAATTTCCAGCCAGCAAAGCCAAGTCACTCAGCCCGGGAATTCCAGACAAATATAACTGGAAGTGGGGAAGGACGCCTTTGGGCTTCCTGCTCTGTTAGCCGAGTCTTCTGACTACGCCACAAGCTACAGTAAGATGTTCCTGATCTAAAATGGATTACTTAAACCAGTGCAGTCTCTAAAACATTTCAGATGTTTCCAGTTTGCTAGAAGAAAGAATCTGCCAAATCAGGCATTTCCTGCTGTCTCTTAATCTCAGATGGGCTAGACGGCAGTCAAATGCTTCCCCAAGCAAATCATGACTGACACACAGAAGCCTCCTGAGCCGGGGAGAACGGCTCTAGCGCATCTTCTTCTCAGGATGTTATTTTGCTCTACGAGGACAGACATTACTGCTCCTCCCAGTAATAGAGGTCAGCGAAAATAATACACGTCAAGGCAAGGCTTAACCACCCTTCTTTTTTTTTGCAGAAATAAACAAGCCCAAGGAGGGCTAGAGAAATGTGTGCTGACAGACAGCAGAGGAGAGCAGCCTCTCTCCAGGGCCCAGGACCTCCGTGGCTGCCTCTGTGTTCCTCCCTCTTCAGTATGTGTGGGCTGCCTTGGATGAGTCCCCAGTGTTCAAGAGCTGGTCTTTAGCCACAGCCCACACAATGCAAAGCTCCACACCAGGAGCTTTGCAAGTGCCAAAACAGTCTCTTATCTTCCAACTCAGACACTACCTAGGCAGTTGGAAACAGCAAGTCAAGGCCTCCAAGAGGCCAGCTGTGACAGGCAAGTGGATCTGGAAACAAAAGCCAGGGTAGTGAACCACTGCCCAGCAGGAAAAGGAACTAGGGAGGCTGGAGAAACAGCTTTTCAGCCTTTGGGCAAACAAGGCCCAAATTCTGGGTAGGGACACTCCTAATTAGGGCTCAAATAAATGGCACAAATCAACAGCACGGAGGCAGATGAGTGCACCTGGCACCATGCTTACCAACCTCACACCGCACCCAGGGCAAGTCATGGGGAGAAAGAGATCTGGGTCCATGGCATGTGGGAGTTGAGATCCCTGGGCTTGGGGGTGTCAGAGTCACATGCCCAACCTACGCAACCAGCAAGAGAGGCTTTGTCCACCCAGTCCTGCAGATGACACATCAAGCATCAATAGAAGCCCATGCAGAGCCATGTCCCGGGATCTAGATGGAATGCTTCTGTCGACCACAGTGTGCAAAAGCATGAGCGACAGTTGTTTTTGTTAAGTGAAAAGGAGACCCTCAAGGACGCATCTTCCGTAGCCGAAACCAGATCTTCCACTTAATCATGGAAAGCAAACAGTGGAAGAGATATGCTTTGCACAGCGACAGCTGCTAGCAAAAATCCTGCATTTTGCATGGGATTCCTGGATACGGTCAGTGAACAACGTGTAATTTGTGGCTGTGAATGAATTTCTGAAGTGTCTCCTTAGTAAGTCAAAAGCATTTTGCAGACCTGCAAAGATATACAATTCCAGCTGTAGCACACAGGAGCCTTCCCAGCAGGGGAGGCACGAGGGGCCTCTCCCCACCACAACTACCTCACCCTCACTGACAATTTCATTCTGCCTCCAAGAGAAACAACCAAACCCTGCAAAAATGCTACATTACTGCCTGAGAGAACAGGAGAGAGTCTATGTGATTTTTCTAACAAACCACTCCCCAATCTGGCAAATCACCTTTCTACACCAACCACCATCTCCAATTGTATGCAAGGTACCCTGCCCAGAGAATGGAGCAGCCACCCGTGCTGGGGGGGTGGGGGGGAGAGGCTGGGAAGGGTTGAGAGGTGGGAAGGACTGTGTTCAAGGCAGATGGATCTTCTGGCAGGTAGAATGTACCTGGGGAGACATCTCTCCCCCACAAGCACAGGCCTTTGGTTAAGAAGTTTCCCGCCACCACAACGTTTTGGGACAGAGGAAATGCTACACTGGGAGGCTGTGGCAGGACTGGAACAACGGCTCTTGGCTAACTTTCTGGCACCCGGCTTTCCTCAAGAAAAATCAATGTTGAGTCACTCTCTGCTCACATTACAAGGAGCCACCTCAACTAGGCTGGAATTCAGAAGCCATTTCCTCTCCTGCCAGGGGCGGGGCTTGCCACCATTCCACGCATGGTTTGGGGCACAACAAGCCCACGCAAGGCCGTGGCCAGCTATTTGGAAAGACCGATCCTCACCTCTGGCATCCCCATCTGCAGATGCTGTTTAAAACCATATGCTACATGCTGCTTTCTTTGCAGAGAAGGCAGAAGAAAAACTACAGCACAAAGTTAGATGTATGCATATGCCACCTGACCTATTTCGAATGTGAACTATTTGGCCTGCTTCCAAAATACGGTATGCCTATTTTTCGAGCAAGCCAACTCCCATTTTTGCCTGCAACTGACGTCTATTTGTCTCTCCCACTATACATTTGCTCCTGTTTGGGTCCAAAGCTGGCTGATCCTTGGAAACCGATAGACCTTCTGCTCACACATGTGCCTTGTCTGTAAAACTATCTTGCCAGGTCCTTGAGCCTGTCTGCTCCTGGAACAAAATACATCATCTGCTATCCCTCAGCCAGGCTCTTTACATTCAGAGCTGTCCATCCACATGGATAAACCAAGCCTGGCAAAGAGAGGTATCTGGGGGGAGAGCAGAGACACCAGCCAGGGCAGTCAATTCCTTCCCTTGTCCTCATCAGGAAAACTGATCAGCAGCCCTTTCTCCATGGCAGACTTGGCAGTTCAGCTCTGACTGATCCTCAACTCTGCCGACACAGCTCATGTTTTCTCAGGATCCAGTCACCGGCCATCTAGCACTAGGCATCCTACTAATCCCCTGCAAAGGAGAAATTCCAGCTTCTCCACTCTGAGCTGAGCCTCATGACACCTCTGAAAAGCAGCTGCTTTGGTCTCCTAGGCCAACTCCAGAGCTGACACACAGGCTCCATTCTACCCCTTGGCGGCTGTGCCAAGATCCAAATCTTGGCAGGTGGGCATACCTCGCATTTCCAACTTCAGAGTTGCAGGATATGCTTTGAAAAGATGTAGACACTGGAGAACTGCACATTTGCTGCATTACAGACCACATATTATTGCTTGTGAAAACTGAATTCAATTCCCAGGAACTACGCCTGAAGCAAAATGGCAGTCAGCAACAAAGCTTCATTTACACTCTCTGACTTCTCATATTACACCTCAAGAACTCAGATCGGTGACTCCGGTTCCTTCGGGGCTGAGTTCAACACAAGACAGACACCGTGAGTAAAGCTAGTAAGTTTCAGCCCTGAACAGATCTCATAAGCTTGTCTGAAATCTAACTTCCTCTAAGCACTGGCACACTGATCTAACAACAACTCAACAGCCATGTGCTACACAAGAGCCCAGAGTAGGTGCCACCAACCTTCTGAGAGCCAGGCTGGACTGCCGTAATGCACACTGGATCCACCAGTGGCTTTGGCCGCTTGGCCGACTCCTCGATGATACCCTGCCATTGCCTCGGTAACCCCGTAAACTTCTGTTCCTGCTGGTCATATCCTGTATGGACTCGGTGTTCAAAGTTGGAAGGGGCCGATATCTCAATGCGTTTCTTCTTTTTGCTGAACATGGTGATGTTGGCTAGCAGACCTAGAAGAAAGAGGGATTTTTAAAAAGATGTCAGTGAAGTACAGAAACAGGCAAGGAGAGCCTCTCTCAAGGCTGGGCATCTCGTAAAGCAGCAGCTCCAGAGGCAAGCAAGCCTAGTGTGGAGAAGCCCCCTGACCCTGTGCTCACACAAGGAGGCACCCCAAATGCTTGCGGCTTAAAAGCGTGCATGTCAGCAGCATGGGCAACCTCCTTTCAGAAGGGCTTTTCAATGATTACTACTCCATCCCTCCCAGGAGCTCAAGGCATCAGCCTCTCCTGCTAACCATTTATCAAGAGAACCCTCCTATGAAGATACGATGCACATATGGGCCACATGCCATGCTTCAAGGGTCCAGTCACAGGATCAGCAGCAGACAAGTTCAAAACCTCCCAAACAGCAATGAAAGGCACAGTTGAGCAGCCTTCCCTACTCTGGCGTGCAGTGTTCTCAAAAAAGTGCAGATTATACCATCATCATGACCATTAAAGCAGCCTTCCCTGTGTGGCTGTGCTGACTGAGAATGACCACTGGAGAACCTTAGACCAGGGAAGCCTGATTTAAAAGAGAGAGGCATAGTACTGGCGTATTTTATTCCCAGTCATGCTGTTGTGCTTCTTAAAAATATCTCTTGGCTGGCAAAATCCAAGGAGGGGCTTTGGCGGCTGAACTTTATGACCCTGTTTTCCCAAGGCTGACCAGCTCAGCAACACCATAGAAAGCCAGCCACACACACACACACACACACACACACACACACACACCACTCCATTCTACAGAAGCATGTGTAACTCTTACCTACCTCC